CTGTCAAAATACCAATAATCCCATAAAATCCTAATTCCCTTTGGGAAGATAAGACAATACTTAGGGAGCATCCCTCTTTCTGCCGACTTACTTGCTGTAAGTTACTAAAACTCGCTTTGCCATGAACCTTCAATTTGGTCTAGTCCAGAGGCTGACAGGCCCAAGCAATGAATTTAGTAACACACGCATTTCCTCCTCAATAGCATTCGTGGAGGCCTACTATGTACCAGGCCTCATGTCAGGCTCCTAGCTACACATGGCAAAGAGCTTATGATTATCATGTTGCCATTAAGAATAAGAAATATATATTTGGTCTCTGGGTCTCTTTGCTAAAACCCTTGACATTTACAAAGTGTGAGGGCAACTAAGATGTCTTGTTATGTTAATGGTGTCTTTGGACCACACTTAAGAGTGAGGGCTGCTTGCCTTGAGAACAAATCTTGTGATTCTAGAGCAGGAACATTCAGTCCTACATCACTGACCTCTGCAGAGAGAAGTGGGCCTGGAGATGTAAACAACCATCAGTAGTCAATAGTTTAATCAATCATGCGTGTTTAAAACCACTTTCCCTTCACTTTGCTGACGCCCCAGCCAATGAAATTCAGCCTTTTTTGTTCTGAAGCCCTACTTCCCAAAATGTGAAATCAGCCCATTTCTCTGGCTTTCAGGATTCTACATCTGAATCTTGGGACTCCTACTTCCTGTTTGAGCTGGCTTTACATTATAGTCCTTTCTTTTTCAAAACCTCAGGGCATAATTATTTTAGCACATACTTTATGCGCATTGGGTAGACAGGCCCTTAATTTCTCAGCAGCAGTTTATATAGGAAAGTTTTGTGTGTATAAGGAACATATCATCATATGGTACAGCCAAAAAACAAAAACAAAACACCTGGCTAATTTATAATATTTCAGTGAAAGATTGGTTTCTGGGCTTCCCTGGTGGCGCAAGGGGTTAAAGCACAGCACCAAAGCTATCCACAGACACTGCAGCACTTCTGTCCCCAGCCAGGGAGGTGACCCACATGGCACAGCAGACCTCTCCTGTCTCACCCACTGCTCCCCTCAGCAGTGGATCTACCTGTTCTGTTGCGAACTATGCTCTGGTGAATCCTCTCATTCTCCCCAACCCCCACCCCACTTCTAGTTTACATCCCAGTTCTTGGATGCATAGTTAAATATATATATTTTTTTAAAGATTTATTTATTTACACAGAACTGGGGTATAGGCCAGAGATGCGGAGGGTGAGAGGATTCACCAGAGACAGAGT